TCCCTGGCATCGGTAGCATTGGTGCTCAGCATGGAAAACAAGATCAAAGGAAAACAAATCAAGGAAAAAAGAAACTTTTTTCCCATTTTATAAAGAAAAAATTAAAGGGTTGTGTCCTAGACACGACCGCAGTATGACGTAGAACCACACAAAATTGATGTTTTTCAAAAACTCCAGAACAAGATCCTTAGGATGATCCTTAACAGTCCTCCACGGACCCGAAATTCTGAGGTCCACCGCCTGGCTGGCCTTCAGCCTCTCGAAGAGCGACGAACGGTCTCCTTGGAAAGGTTCAGAGAAACCTTTCTGAGATCAGATCTTCAGATCATACGTGATCTGACACGTTAGTTAAGTTAGACTCGTAGCTAGGTAGGTTATCAAATTTTCCAATTAAAACAAAACACACCCCCAAGGGGTATTCTATTAACTAGATCAAATACTAAATTAGAATATCCAATGAACAAAGATGAAGAGCCAGATAGGCTAATCAATTGAAATGTAAAATCAATGTATAATAATGTATAATAATCAACAGAAATAAACGAAATTTTACTACTACTACCTTAAACAGTCAGTTGTGTGCAATTCACCAACATAATATCATCGAATATGTCTTTCAAGCAATATTTTTCTCAAATTTGAATGTTTTGGTGCGGGAAGAAATTAATGGAAAAACTTCTGTTTTTACTAAAGGTTTGTTTAAAATTTATTTCCCGGAAAAAAGTGATCGTCAAAGTCCATGTCTTTTTCGGATTATTGTTGAGGGGGGAGGGGTTGTGTGAAGGGGGAGGGGGTTTACATACATTGCTTTTTCTCATTCCTCATTGTATCGCATTCCTCATTGTGGTCACGCCGAGATCCACCTTTAGCCGCTGACTTGATCCTGCTTGCTGCAGGACCAAGTGCCACGCCCCGTCCGAAGCGACAATGAGCAAAAGCATGACAGCAGCGCTGTTTTGTATCTTTTCAGGTTCAAGCAGAACGATGTGCAACCGAACCTGATAGGATTTCCCGCCGTTTTTTATGGGCTAAAAGTTTCTTTTGTGCAAATATGTAAAAAAGGATGGACTTTGGATGTTAATATAATTGCATATATAGAGGTACCAGATATGTTTTACAGTCAGTTGTTGGTAATCCATCAAGTGTATGTCTTCTGTTAAGCAATTGTTTTTTTGAAAATGTTGGCTCTGCATGTAAAAAAATAATTGTTTATACTTAATTATGGTTTGCTTAAAATCTATTTCCCGGAAAAAAATGATCGTCAAAGTCCATGTCTTTTTCGGGTTATTGTTAAGGGGGGAGGGTGAGAGGTTGTTAAGGGGGAGAGGGTTTTACATGACCGTTTTTTCAAGTCTTATTCCTCATTGTGGTGGACCTTTAGTCGCTGACTTAGTCCTGCTTGCTGCAGGACCTAGTGCCACGCCGTCCGAAGCGGTAATGAGCAGAGACAGGAGAGCAGCGCTGATTTACATCTTTTCAGGTTCAAGCAGAATGATGTGCAACCAAGTGGCATTCCTTTATGATGACTGGGTTTGGGAAAAAGGCTTATTTCATGAAAACAGTGATAGAATTATCATTTGTAAATTTTCAAAAGTTTAATTACAGTAAAATTGGAAAAATATTTATTTAAGCAGGTTCGTAATGTAATATGCTATCGATTGGCGTATTTGGATTTTAATTTCATCTATAAATGACAAAGTTACAAGCGTTCAAACCCTAACACTCCTTCACCACAAATATTTTTTGATTTGCACCCCAGTATAGTCGACAAAGACGTAGTTCTACGTCAAAAAACCGTCATGTCCCTGAATCAGCGGCAACTAATTCACTCTCACTGGCATCCCGATTTCAGAAGCTGTAATGCTTCATGGGAGAATGCGATGTTTTGCTTCTTTGCCGTCGATCTCATGTTATAAACGGATCTGAGTTCAGAAGTAGCCTGTTAAGAATATCACGATTGCATGCCTTCCGAGAAAATTTCCTCGAGAAGTTTAAGCGATACGAACGGAAATGCTTATTTCTAGACTCGGCTGCCTCCTCGGAGAGCAATCCTATTAGTAAAACTGCGTGCTTAATCACTTGTCAAAACTTCAAGACTGACCTTAAACCTGATGATAAGATCAAGATCAATTCCCGTGATCTCGGAAGCTTTTTCTGGTTCCCATCGTTGGTATTCCCATTTCCTGCCTTCGGAATGTAAGAGATGTGAAAAATGGACTCAAAAAATCAGATCCTGGCATGTAGCGTCGACAAACCGAACCTCAATGATTCTGGATGTATCTCCTTCCCTTCACTTAATTTATTGAAGCTCTTGGATGTTTCTAAAAAAAGCATCGCATAAATGATGTTGTATCTGTTACTGTGATGTAGACTTTTGCGTCCACCATTGTAGGGATCATTTTGTGAGCGATACGTAGAATTTTTCCAGTCTTCGTTGACGCTCCTGTTTGCTTCAAATCTTTAGCATGCTTTAGCAATCTGCTCAGTCGTCACGCTTGTTGATTTTCGGATAAAACGATATCGTATTGTATCGTATATATCTTTTTGCCAGTGGTGGCGGGGAGGGGGACACCCCTCACCATCCCTCTCCAAAGGGGGAGTTTGGTAAAGAGAGATGAAAAAACCGATTTGTGCCTTCCTTAAAAGTTGTCCTTAGCTCGCTTGTCTAATATCTATATACAATCTTCACACTGCCGTACTCTAACGGAACTATCAACTCTATGCTTTCATCTACTCCATCTATCGTATAAAAATTACCACTACAGTCTGTTATTTGAAATTAGCATCTTCAGCTATATTAAACCTGTTTATTTCACTTCATGAGAGTCACAGTCAGCGATTTTTCACAAACTCGCTCACTCACTCACTCACTCACTCACTCAGCGATCAGCAAATCGCTGATTGTGACTCATAGAAAGCAAAATTTACAGGTTTTATGTTTCCAACGCATACTTTGTAACCTCTTCTTGTAAGTTACAAGTAAAACATGCCATCATACCATCTTTTGGTTTTATTATTCCGAAAAACATTATTTTAGCTGAAATGAGTCTTTGCAACCTTGCTAATATCATGACTAAAACTCATTTTTTTTAAATAAATAAAAGTAAGTAGTAAGCTTAAATGGGTTTTCAAGTGTGCGTCACACACACATAAATTTCATATTAATTATTGAAATCATGTAAATGTCGGTAAATGTAGCAAAAATTATACTGAGCACTTATTTGTAGAGAAATACGCACTTGGGAAAACGTAAAAAACAAGAGCCGAAAACGTAAACAAAAAACAAGTACCGAAACTACCAACTTTACTCGGCTTAGCAGTCCAGTTATCCGCCATTATGGGGTGTTTGCACTTATTCTATTTCACTAGCGCTAATGAGCCAGCTGCTAGCAAAAAAGCTCACCAGCATAATGTAAACAGGGCATCAACGTCTACCAGCATGAGATTTCATGAGCAACTGAAATATTCGTGCTAGTTGGGTAGTACACTAGTGCTAACAAATCCGCACAGATGTAAACACCCCATTAAGGGGAAGTTCACGGCTTCGAAAAAAATAATTACGTTTTGATTTTTCTAAAAATATTGAATAAAGTTATCTAAAATCTAAAAAAATCACATTTTTTCTTATTTTTCAAAGAAAATTCACGTGCAAAAACATTTTTTACAAGTAATTATGGCATAAAGTTGAACTCAAAAAACCTCAAAACATCGACTTTTCGGTTTTTCTGAGAGTCCATTTTTTTTTCATGATTAGATAGAAAAAATATTTTTACATGTTATTTTTGACAAAAATCTAAGGAAGAAATTGATTTTCTTGAATTTTTGATAATTTTTCCCATTATTTTCGAAAAATAAAAACATACAGAAAACTATTTTTTTTATTTTCGGGCCGGTAAATTTCCCCTTAACTACACTCATTAAATAAATCACATAACCAGTGGAAAATATCCATGTGAATTTCACATAACTTTCATGTGATCCCATAATTGGAAATTGCGCCACTAAATCTCATGAATTTTATGTGTCCAATGAAATCTATATGATTTCTCATATAGAATTTCTAATGCTATGTGATATTCAGGTAAAAATCATTGTTTTTGTTTTTGGAAAAATACTATGTGCGTTCCTAATAGAAACTAAGTGAAAACTTTTTTCAGTGTAGAGAATCAACGTTACTTTCATCGAAAGCGATGAGCAAAACAACGATAAGAAGATCCGTTGTCAGCCTTTCATTCTAAGCGTGCTTCTTTTTCATTTTCATTTCGTGTTGATAGTCTAGCTAGGCGTTATAGAAATGATGCGTTGAATACGTTGTATGAAAGAAACAAAACTCGAGTTCATTTTAGAGCTTCAAAAATGTAAAGTCCTGGTACAACGCCACTTGCTTCGGTTTGCTACGAATGTGATCCTGAAAACATACCAATATAAAGAGGGCAGTTCCTAAAAACGTACCGTCTTAGGGAATAAGTACATTCTGTACTTTAACTAAAGGGACCAAAATTAAGTCAAATGTGGTCAAATTTGTCTGCCCGTAAACAAAAAATCACGTTTGTTGCACAGTGTTTTAATATGAGCTCATTATTTAAAGTTTAACAGACGACGAACACTGCGCCCACCTTACCCCTATTCTCACCAGATATCAAGTGCGATCCACTCATGCTGCGGGAGTCAGAATCCGCTCCTTACAATTGATCCGTGACGTCAACACACACAACGGGTCTTAGAGGAAGCCCTGCATCTCAGTCGGGTGCCTTACGCTATCATGACGGCGCCAACGACGACGGGTTAATAATGTTGCTGTTGTTGTTCTTGTTGTTGTGTACTACACTTACTACTACCATTGTACAGAACGACGAACAACAACCCGTCACTAGACGGCACAGCTAGTATCGATTGCTGCCAAGTCAAGAAACGGAGGCGTGTGTTTCTTAGTAATAATAAAAACGATTTGCGGCTCGGAGCCCCTGTTTTTGCTAAATAGAGCACGAACGATATATAAGAACGCGAGCGCGGTTTTGTCAGTCAGCTCAGTTTGTACTCTCGTTCAGAACCGTTAGCAAAAAGGACACTTTTGTCTTCCTCGATAAGCGCAAGCGCGTTATTCTGATAGGTAAGTGATAACATGTGCATGAAAAAGTGAATTGCAAATTGAACAAATAACTTGTGCGTTGGACAAACGACAAACCTTACCGAACAATATGTAGAAAGCGAAGAAGATAGTTGTTATTAAAAGACTGGCATTAGGATGAGTTAAAGTGAAATGTGAGATGTGGCATTTTGAAACAGCAAATTGGTCTTGAAATATATGTTGACAATGTTATACCGTATAAACCGAACTTCACCGAATACCGGACGATCAGTTAATCCGTACATTTAATTAAATATTACGTCTTTTTAACAATATATAATAACTATGTGTGGTTGGACTGGCCCACAAAAAAAAAGATCTAATTTTCCACTGGCCAACCTCAAAGCTTGTGCCATTATCCGAAAGTTTAGGCTCATTTGGTTCTAAGATGAGCTGGCGCTTTCAGTTTGAATTTTGATAAAAAAAAAGAAAAAATGACACTCCTATACACTATCGAGCATAAAAAAGTTTTCTTATTCTCGAATTGATTCACTTAATGCGTAACAACTTTCCTGAAGTTTTATTTTGATATTCGCTTTTGAATATAGGTAGATGAAAATATCAACCAAATCTCCCATATGAACATTAAACATAAAGCGCCAGCCAGTGTAACGTCAAAAAGAGCTGGTTATCGCACCAAAAAAACACGCCTGGATATTGGCCTGTGGAAAATATGAACTTTTATTTTTAGTGGTAATCTAGTTGATTCCTTACATAAGCTGCCTGTATTTTGTTGCAATATACGAGCAGAATGCACATAATTAATTAATATATCCATAATATTAACTTGAATCGTGATGCTGTCTTCATCAAAGTTGTTCCTTGTAGTTTAAGCTACGTGTGCTGAAATTCTGAGCCTAATCGAGTTTGCTGAACCAGTTCTATGCACGAAAGAGTGAAGGAATATTATTTCTCCATGCATTTCAACCAATATCCCCATATAAATTTAAATCAAAAGCGCCAGCTCGTGCTACATCCAAATGAGCTGAAATTTTTAGAGAGTGGTTTTCTCACCTAATGGCCCAAATGTAGGCAGTGATAATAAACTTTTAAAAGAATCTAGATTCCGAGCCTTAAGGGTAATATAATTTTAAGCAAGATCAAACTTGTTGGATTTTCATTGTTAATAATGCTTTAAATACAAGTTCAAGTTCAAAGTGACAACAAGCCACAATTAACTCCTTTAAGTGCCCTAATTGTGTTTTAAACAGCGACAACGACTCGTTGTGTAGGTCTCCATATAATACCCGTTCAGCAGTTAAAAAAAGGTAACAGCAAGCGAGAAATTGTTGAGAGGATTTCCTTGTGCGCTTGCAAAGTTTGGAATTTGTCCTTGCATAATATTGCATCGCACATATCTACTACCGACAACTGCTGGTTGCTGTGGACAGGTGCTTTGAATATATCTGACATTTGTCAAGTATTGAGCTTTCAATAGTGTTGCTGTGGAACTATTGGCAATTAGGACAGTTCAGATGTCTGACGTTTTGTGATATTTTTTTTCTATCAGATCAAAAAATTCAAGAAATTGGCAATATTATAATGATGATCATTAACCCAGTTTACATAAAAAAGGTGCAAACCTAAGTTATAAAAAAGTGTTGCATATACAGTACCGGATAAAAGCATAACCCTTCGCTATTTTTTTTTTCTCTTAAAAAAAGTTGCTATTTGAACTTGATTTTTTCCGGATGAACATTAAATTTTCCGGAATCTTGGTTACTGGTTGATCAAGTGATCAAGATTAATTGGTATAATTTTGAGCTTGATTGAAGTAATCCGTTGTTTGAGCAATTTTGATAAAAGGGCTCCTTTTGGTATGTCCTTTATGATCCTGGAATTTCTTGAAGTACGTTAAACCAAATGAGATGTTGTTAGACTGTCTTTAAAGCATGGATCTTTTATATGCTTTTGATTTCACTTCAATCAATTCAGCAAGAAAAAAAAATCGTGTCGCAAATATGGTGTAATATTACTTTCCAGAAATGACAAAATTATCATTCATACAGTGCATGAACTGATATTACGCTACTTTTACTGAATTTTTTTATTTGTGTGGCCATAAAAATTACATGAAATTTTCGACATGATTGAAGTGCATCCACTTGGATGTAATATTAAAATTATTTTTTTGCTGTGTGTGGCAGAGTGAAAAACCAGAACAGACAAAACCATATCACCTTGCCATTTTTATGAGATGGTGAAAAAGTTATTAAAAGTATGAAACTTTTTTCGTACTGAATGGATTTTAGTAAATTCAAAGACATATGAAAGATTCAGATTTTAACTACAATTGAGCTTATTTTAAGATCCCTTGGTTTATTGTACTTCAAGAAATTGCAGTATCAAACAGGATATATCAAAAAGAGGCGTACACAAACAGGATATACCTTAAACTGCTCACAGATTCTGTGAATCAAGCTCAAAATTATACCGAAAATATTTGGATACTTGACCAACCAGCAGCCAACTTCATGTACATCCGGAAAAATGGCAGCTCCTTTAACCTGTGGATATGAGAAAATACCTCAAGTCCCCTCACCCATCAAGTGAGCTAGGCAATTTGATTAGTATTGTCGCATTAATGATTCTTCGCTCAATTTCAACTTCTGTTAAATTTTCACACTGTCGTACTGTAACGGAACTATCATTCTATACTCTTTCTATAGTTAATCAATTTTCGCACTATAGCTTCATGTTGATATTAGCATAGCATTTTCTCCAAACTTCCTAATCATGATGTTGGCAACATTGATTCAAATAAAATTACACATAAAATTCGCAACATACCTTAAACTTGTTTCAGTTCCATAGAACCAGCGCTAGAATGTAAATCAAACTGAATCTCTGAAAATTCGTTGCTTAAGCTCAACAACACTGACCATAATTTCGTATCAGTCCGAGCTCTCATTGATTTCTTATACATATGGTAAAGTTATGCGATTATGGGCTGTTATAGATAGTGTGGATTTTGCGAAAAGCAAATGAATGACAATAAAATAAGTCACTGAAAAAAGTCAAACATTATTCTGAAGAGGATGACACCTTTCATTAGACTATAGACTTAGACTTAGACTATAGACTTAGACTGACTCATAGATTTTTAGCTGTCAGGTCAACTGCGGATGTCTTCTGGATCACCTTATAAATATCAGCTACCGGAAAACATACAATATCAAAACTGCTTCCCCATGCTTGTTGCGACGTAAACAGAATCAGATGTAAAGCCTTTCAGTAAAAGTGTGGACGACTTCCGCTAAATGGAAGTGTCAAAATACGCTCCAATCGAACAAAATCAATCCTTTTAAACAGTTCGATTGAATCAATTTTTTACAGGCGTCCATGCTTATATTGATGCGCTTTAATCAATACGTGGCCTTACTCTAAAAGTGGTAAACTCCAATCGATATTATCCTCGGCTTAAATCTCCATCACGAATGTCGTGCTGCTTTGATGTCAACGTTGGTGTTAATTAATAAAATTTCATACAAAAATCTGGCAGATCCTTCAACCAGGGCTGGTATGAAAAGGTAATCCAAGTTGGAGCTTATCACCATTAGTATAGAGCATTTTAGGAGACGTTTCTTATTCAATTCATGAAAGAGCTTTGATAGGAGGCAGTTACATAACGGCTGTGCGAAGCAACATCATTATCATTAAATTCTGTCAGGCAAACTGACTCCTGTCATTTCGTAAAATAGACTATTTGGCTCTGCAGACAACAGTTCGCTACGAAGCATAAATAGTACATAATTAGTTTTACCTGGGAGGGAGTAATTTATGACAAATTATCAGTACAAGTTATCTTATTCAATAAGACACCGTTTTTTTTTAGATTCATTCATTGAATAAACGATATGTATTCTTAGATACATATTGAAAGATACCTGATTAATGATAATTTGCCAAAATCTTTGGTGGCATAATAAAATGCAAAACACAATATTTCTCACTGCCCACTGAACATCGTCAAACAAGCACTACACGCTCAAAGCAAATCAGGCAATTTTGCAACGTCTATTTTGATTTGGTTTCAATTGGGCTTCAGCAATACCTTAACCTATTATCGTCAGGGGGTAAACAAAGTCCTAGAGTACTCAAATTTGGCAAATAGATGCTCTGAAACACAATGTATCCACATGCCAAAATTAAGCTCTCAATGATGTTGTTCACCCCCTGACAATAATACAATAAGGTATAGCCAAAGCCGTCATTTACCCTATTTAATTTGGAAAAAAAATATCTTTTCTCTACGTCATCTGAAAGAGCTTCGTTTTCGAACCCATAGACTTTCATCTCGCTGATTAATTCAAAATTTAAAGCAAAATAATAACTTCACTGTTTAACTTGTAAACTAAGAATTCGCTCACATACAAATTCCCACAAAGGAGCACTAAGATGGTGTTTTTTGTGAATGTAATCGTAATTATATAAAATAGTTCCAAAGTACCAAAATTGATAAAATTGTGTATTTCGGTGCATCGAAATCAAGACAAGATGAACAAAATATAGCATGAATTCCGTGTGTGCTATCTGTGTATCCCTTCCAGATCCTTACTATTTTATCGTGACTTGAGCGGTATTTTCACATTACTGATTCATTCATGGTCTTCTAATTGGCCATATGGCCTAAAACCTTAAAATGTTAGTCTCAATGCAGTTCGATATGCCGACGTCGAAAAATTTGGAAAACGTATTTTGAACATGATTTAGGGTGTATGGCCGTCACACTATTGCCATAACTCGAACACTTCCTCTATATGCATCAATATTTCAAAAACACTGCTCAATGCTGCTGGTAAAATGTGAAAGATGATTAATCGATGAAAACACTTTCCTAAAATCCAGACCTGTGGAGTCAGGAAAAGATTTGGAGCCAGAGTCGGTGAAATTATGCAGACGCCGACTCCAACTTTTAGATCAAAAGAGTGAAGTCAGACTGAAAATAATTATGCCTACTCTAACAACTTTATAGTTTTAAATGCCTTCCGGTATCGTTTTCAAAAGTTGAAAAGTAACATCTTTAGTTCATGTGCTTAAACAATGAAATTATATTCACGACAGAACAACCTTGTTTTAGCACGATAAACGGCTTTTTTCTGTTGAAGCTTAGTTGACGTTGCAGAGTGAATAACTTTTTGTATCGGTTTTATTTGTTGTTAGTGTTTCATTTCATTTCACTCCAAATGAATTTTATGAGGGTATTCTGTTAAGAAATACGATGTAATAATTTTTTGAGTTTGAATTTTTGAATTTGAGATTCATAACTTGCATTCATATGTTGGCTACCAGCATAAATGCGAACCATAACTTGACCTTACCGAAAATTGTTAAAAATTGTTTATAATCCCTGCTAAACTTTAACTGAAATGGTTATGGAACTTTACTGATAAAGTTTAACCTTATGTATTATGTTTTTTTTTGGAAGTGGACCTAACAAATAATGGGTTGTTAAAAATCATGACCATTCCAAATTCTTGTTTTCTCCGTACATTTTCAGAAAAGATATTATATTTGAACCTTTTTATTTATGATTTGATAACTTTAATGGTAATGGTTACGGTATTCAGTAAGGTCTGGAAACGTTATGTGATGCTCCATTATCTTCTAAAGGTTGATACATGGGCCGCAATAGTATGATCGCATGAAGATGCAATAATGCAAGAAACCATACATAATTACCCTAGTCTATAAAAGTCGTTTTTGCGATTTTATTTTCTTCACGGATCGGCGGAAACTAGATATGTCGCAATAGAGAATTTTCACTGCAATAAATGCATAACGAAACGGCATGTTACAACTCAACCAAGCAGTAGTGATAACACATCTATCGCACATACATGTATCATGAACCATATTACGTCAATAACGCCGTGAATAGCAGTCACCTCTTATGTCTGCTCATGCTTAGGCCACTAAACCTGATATCCATTACTCGGTGGATTAATGTTGGTAAAAGAAATAAATCATCAAACAGCGACGATTTTCACCTCGGGCGCACATCGAGCTGTTTCGTGAGCAGCACGTGCCGGCGACGATGACGCGCCGGTTTTATAAAACAACATTTACGGTCCACCCACTTGATACTAATTACTATCGCTATTGCAGATCAAAAATGAACGCACTCATTTTGACTTTTGCCATCATCTGCGCTGGTGCTTCCGCCCAGATCTATCTGAATCAACCGATTGCCTTGGCGCTTCAACATCAACCGGTTCACCAAGAGGTATGTGATTCGACGATGGAAGCAATATTCAAGTTAATTTCAAATGCATTTCACCGTTTTCTTCCATTTCAAGGCCTCTTTGGCACATCCGGCTGTAGTGGAAAATGCACTGAACGAGGCTCAGTATCCGGCTGAGTTCAGGAACAACGTGTATAAAAACCCACAAGTGGCTGAAGCATTGGCCAAGGAGTCCTGGTTCGGTGACAAGGAGATGCCTGTTTTCGAGCGTGCCGCCGACAAGATTCCTCGGGATCGCATTTTGAAGATCTTCAAAAATGCCGGATTTGTTCATCGGCGTTAGACGAATGCACGGAAAATAGCCACCGACTTGATAAAGTTAAATGGAATTTTGATGCCGGAAAATGATTGCTTGCCTCTCTAAAAATACGATGTTGCTGTTGTTGTTACCTGCCCCTTGTAAATATATGATAGAAACTGTTCCTGAATCAAATGTGTCTCATAGGATAGTTGTATGAGTGCTAGTATATTGCCACTATTTGCATAACAGTTCTATGTAGATAGGAAATCCACAGGACATGGGACTTTTATGCGAATAGCGTCAGTATAGGTCTGTCACTATTTATTTGTACATAAATAAAGTTAATTTATTAGTCATGAAATCAACAGCATGTGCATTTTCTTTTGATCACACAAATTCTTTGCATTCGTATTGATGCAGTAAGGGACATTATAAAGACAGGGTGATGACAATTTATCCGTCTTCAATGTTTTAGTCTTAGTTTTATTAATTTTATTACTAATATATCAGGCGTAACATTTGAAACAGCATAGGAGCTTTTGTAAACAATTTACGCTACGCGATGATTTTGTTGGTTTGCGTGGGCGTATTTCGGTTCATGTATAAAGGCCCTTAAAAATTTTGTTTTAAAATGATCCAACATACTAGCGATACATACCGGACGATTTGTTTGCCTGTAAATCTCGATTTCTGCATTAGTGATGGTGTCTTTCATTATGGCACTTCTCTTTAACGGATTTGAACCTTGGCTCGTTTGCTTACAATGAACCTAACCCAAATTGACATTGCGAGCTGTACACTGAGCAAAAAGAGGCGGATAATTTTACCCCACCCTGTACATCTTTTAGTAAGTGTGGTTGGGTCTTCGCGGCTGTTCATAAACTAAGTAGACAGTTATTGAAAGGTTTTAGACCTACCTCTCCCCCTGCGTGGAAAATCTCAAATTCTCCCCCTCTTTTTTTTATTATAGTCACTTTAACGCTATTGGGTCATTCATGACGGGTCCGGGGGTGAGATTTGAACTCGTGACTTTGGCGTGAGAAGTATGGATTCTTACCATTACGCTTGGGTCCGCCATGGGAGGACGGCTAAGCAGATCGGTGTGATTTATTTTCTATATTTGTCTCCGTATCTATCCGTATCACAAAAACACAACGTAGGGATCCCGCAATCACTGTCTGAAGGACTTTTTCAAGATATTTCTAAATATCTGGAGCACATAATGCTCAGGTTTGTGCATCTGCGCACAATTGATTATTTGAATGAAGATCGATATTTTCGGTTATATTTTAGAGCCTCCCTACACTGAACCAAAAGTGCAAAATAAAGTGCCCACCTAATAATTTTTTGAATTTATCTCATTTATTTGGATCAAATTAAAGTCTGTAGTCACTGTAGTCTTTTTTGATATCTTATATTGTATATACTTTTAAAGTTTCACTTATGGAATACTAAAAAAAAAAGAGTTTTACTTTTAAAAAAATAAGAGTAACACAGGCAAAAAAAATAGTGCCCACTTCATTTTAGCTCCAGAAAAGATAAATTAAAGTAATAGAAAAGCATTTTAATAATTGATTTGGCCTTCAGGAGCTGATGCTGGTGCTTCAGCATGCTCTCCACAAGGTTCTTTAGGTGCTGTGGATCTAGCTCTTCCCAGGGTGCCCCAGGGCTTCAAAATAGTTATTTTTATTGGTAACACCAGTTTTGTCAACCCTGGCATCCATGATCGCCCACAAATTCTCGATGGGGTTGAGATCCGGGCTTTGTGGAGGCCATTCCAGCGGTTTAATCCGACAATACCGGAAGAAAGACTGGGTCGATCACTCCTCGGGCTACCGAGCAATTGGAGCGATGCTTCAAGTCCATGGGTTTCAGTTAGCAAGCGAGGAACTGCAATGGCCCTGACAGATCTGTTCTGTGTAGGAAATGTGGAGAGAAGGGTCACATGTCAAGAGGCTGCAAGAAGCAACCGAGGTGCATGTTCTGCAAAAAAAAGAGGACGGAAACGAACATACCATGGGAGGCTTCAAATGTCTAGCATACAGAAAGGCGATGTCAGACCAACAGTAATAGAGGTAACCCATATAAAACTTGATAATTGCGAAACTGCACAGCAACTGTGCTATACAAGTTATGGACAGATACCCCATTCAAGAAGTGGTTGCGAGCTCGTATGAAGGTTTCGTGATCGCCCAAATTAATGGAATCATCATATGCAGTTGTTATGCACCCCCAGATGGACGATGGAGCAGTTCCAAGAGATGCAATATGGACTTACCGAGCTGATCGGACGAAGACCGGTAGTTATCGGAGGGACTTCAATGCTTGAGCAGTGAAGTGGGGAAGCAGATGTTCCAATGTAAGATGGCACAGTCTGCTGGAAGCTGTGGTAAGCTTGATGTGATGCTTTCCAACGAAGGCACCAGCAGTGCTTTTCGCAGAGATGTCCGGGAATCCATTATCGACGTCATTTTATGCAGTGGCAAACATGAATTGGAGAGTGTGCGAAGGATATACATCAGATGATCCGACCAACTGAATACTGTGGCAGTGTGGAGATCAATAACTTGCGACCGGAAGTAGAAGATGATCTATTCGTTCAAGCACTCCGTGTGGACAGAGGCCTCGCGGATCTGAACGCGGACGAGCTGACAGAAACGTTAGTGAGAGCATGTGACCGTGGAAACGGGAGCCAAATAATAGATGACGTCCAGCTTACTGGTGGAGCCGCACTTAAACGAGAGATAAAGCAGAGCAAGTCAAACCGTTTTAAGGGGGTAGTACCACACTCTGGCGGCCAAAAAAGAGCCTTTCTGTGGGATTTTTTCGGGGCTATATAAACATATGTTGAAAAAGGAAACACAATTCTAAACAAGCCATTCGATTGGAAACTTTTCTACCAATCTGCTCAAATGAACACTTTATCAATTTTCAATAGGCCACTATTGAAAATTACACAAATGTCCAACTGTTACAATCGTGATCAAAATTATCACCGATTGCCTGCAAAAAGCGCTTTCCCAAACACAGATTTCAAAATCGAATTCCTCTCGGTCTCACTGAACGGTTTTTATTCAATCACCGCATGTGGTGAGTGGTGTCTGGTCATCGGCATCAGCAGCAGTAGCAGTAGTAGTGCTTTCGGCACGTGGCGTTGAACATTGTTCTCCAGTACACAACGAAAGGCTGCTTGCAACAGCGAGCTGCAACCCACATGAGCACCCATAGAAGGAGGAAGCAGCCAAACCGCTATTGATTGGAATTAGTAGCTCTTCGTGAGTCGCTGTGGGCTATCTATGCCACGCGCGTCGCCCTCATTCCAAACAACATACAGCTCACCAGCCTCATATGCGTTGAACTCCCTAATATCTCAGCATTATTCAACCATCACGACAAAACGGACCACAATAACTTTGTTAAGGAGTATTTTTTGGCCATTAGTCAATGTCATCAATCGGATGTCAGTTACCATACGTTTAAATTTTACATACCAACATTGGGGGTGCAATTTCTGGATTTTAATTCTTAATACGCCAATCGATAGAACATTTTTCTACGAGTTTGTTCAAATTAAGACTTGACACCCTAATAGCTAATCATTACTCAACCATCACAACAAAGGGTTCATTTCAGGACCACCATAAATTATTGTTGTTTAAGAACTAATTTCCATTGAACGTTCGCTCTCTTTGCTGCTAGCCACATTACCCCCAAAGCTCTTGATAATGTACCCAGCAACAAAACGTGTGTGGTCAAATGAGTCAAGTATTGAAGTGGTACATAAAAATTCTCGCAATAACCGAAAACCACATGACCTTGTGAATCAACCAGAAACATTTTGAATTAATGTAAGGTTTTCTCCAGGATGCTAGAGAAAAGCAAAAAAATCTCGAAATTCCTCCAATCAATGACCGCTTTTTTTATTATCTGTAATTTTTTCATCAGAAAACGAGACATTTCCGTGATGTTAAAAAGTGGTTTCCTTACTCAGTCGCCGAATATTGATATCGAGCACATCATCCTACGTCAAATCTACGGTCGTGCCTTGGGTACAACCCAAGGGCGTAGCCACGTTTCGAGCTAGGGAGGGTCGAAAAAAAATTTACTATGGAAAATTTGGCCGAATGCCATTTCTCCGAACGCCATTTCCCCTGCCCCCCTCTGGCTACGCCTATGATACAACCTCTTACTTTTTCGTTCTTATTGGACCACTCCCATGACCGCTGCACCAGGTGCCGCCAGGCACTGCCCACCGAATTTTTCTTAGCGGCGTGGGTTACATTGTTCACCCATGTGGACATAGAACATCTCTTATGTCGTTTTCGTTTTTGCGGTGTACCTACACCGGTGCTACACTGCCGTACACCGAAATATTTTAGGGTATAGATATAGGATGCACCTTTCTCCATGAACATTTCAAATGGTTCTATCTGTTTTGATCGATTCTCTTCATCGACTTTCTCTTTTGATAACCACTGCTATGTGAACAGATTTCACAATAATTTTACCACATTGTTTGATAAAGGAGGTTCTTATCTAGCGTCCAAAACGTCAAATACAACAGAGATAGGTTTTGCAGCTGAGCTATTAACGAAAGACAAAGTCGATAAAGATAATCGATCAATGCAGATAGGACCTTTTGACATGTTTATCTAGAAATGATGTTGAGCTGTCAAAGACTCGCGATTATTCCTGCTTACACTACACCAGTGCTACACCGCTAAAACGAAAACGACATTATTTTTAGATACATTTCCAATCGGCGAACGTAGGATTTTTTAACGATGCCCACTGAAATGTGCCCAGAGAAGCTGAAAGTCATCGTGGAAGGGCTTTTCCCGAAGCACGACCCAACGATCTGGCCACCTACACCGTACGGAGAGGGAGAGGGAGATAACGTCGAAGTCACGAAAGGAATTGAAGGTGAAGAAAGCTCCCGGTTCGGATGGAATCCCAACGTGGCGTTCCAAGCGTCCCCGGACATGTTCAAGATGGTGCTGCAGAAATGCCTCACTTCCCTGAACGGTGGAAGATCCAGAAGAATCACGTGAATGAGATTAGGTTTGAATCTTCAATATACAAGCAATCTATTTATGGATCAGCACAGGGCTGGCTATGTCATTGAGGTTTTTGGGGGATTTATAAGTGCGATTAAATGTGCAGAAAACCTAATCAAAGTGCATTTTTACGTTCAATCGTGTTGGTGTCTACGGCGCACGACGCCAAAGTACACTTTTATGAACGATTCCGCACTTTTGAGGAGTCCAGTTTCAAATGCAAAATACTATATTAAAGACAAAAGGAATTTTCGAAGCATCGTTTGAAGCAAACACTGTGAAAGTACTTAATAAAAATGTAATTTTATTTGAATTTTTCGAAAGCATAAAGCAATTTCTAAGATATAGCAACAGGTTAAAATTATCTACCGAAATCAGTTAGATTCAATTTAGAAATAAATAATTTATCGCCTATCGACCTATGTAGCCAAATTCGCGCGAATTCAACCGGGTTGGGGGTGCATGCTGGTTCACTTGCCAAATTGGTGTAAATAAATATACATCGTGTCTTACAACTATGGTGGTATTGGTTGCTATCCGCCAAAATAAACTAACGGCTTTAAAAACGCAAATTCATGGAAGGCAAAATATAACTATGAACTATTAATGTATATGTACTTATGAATGAACTGCAAACCCCTACAATTGCCACTATTAGGTGGCCGACTGTATAGAAAACTCTCGAATCTAAGTTTCATCCGGGTTTTGAACAATTCATACCGACGGTTAGGTTAGGATTTTTTTTTCTCAATACAACTCACGCTCGCTATACACACAATGGTTAATAAAATTCACCGCGTAATATAGCGATGCCGATCATCTTCATTTCAATGATCGATGATGTTAATTACGGAACGAAAGCTTTCCTTGTAATGAAACGTTCGATATATCTTTTTTCGTCTATTAAAACATAGAGAGGTCACTAAACTTGTTTGAGTCAGTCATTCGCAGGAAGTTATTTATATCCAGGGTAGTTGTAAGATTGGGAAGCAGGCTTAAAATCATTGAATTTGTGGTTGGACGGAGCTTCCTGTTCGGCACTGTTGATGTCATCTCCTTGTTGATGTATACCTGTTGCTTTGAAAGCTTTAGCTTGGATTTGATGTTGAAGTTGATGTTGAAGGTTATGTTGATGTTGATGTTGATGATCGCCCGCGACCGTACCGCTACGATGAGTGATGGCAGCATGAGCAGCAGCTTCAGCAGCATTGTTCTGAGCTTCCTGGGCAGAGGATGCCGCCTTGTGGGCAGCCTCCTGTGTGGCCTCAAAGTCAACGCGAGCCGAGTTCAACTGTTCTTCGATGTTCTCTACTCGTGCCTTGGCACTACCAACCATTTGCGTTTGCGATGCGAGTTCGGCTGCGGCTTCACTGGCAGATTGCTGGGCATGTTCAGAAGCAACCTGTTAGCAGAAATGAAATGCAGAGGATATTAAGTGGCTTAAACAAAAGTGAAATTCATCAATTAAAAGCAACATGCAGATAAGAAAGTGAAAATTGTAAACCGGAAGTTTGCATTACATCACATTCATATTGTCTGAGGTCGTGATATTCTTTTTTTTCACTAGCTATTTTTGTTCATAACTATTGTTTTAATACAAAGTATTTTGTGATAAACACCAAGCTATTAATGCAAAACAACTTAAAATTTTAATTTTTATAATTACGGAAAATTATTATTATTTGTAAATCGTCTAACATATATTTCAATAAGTCAGCGTCGAACCTCTGTCATGCAAATGCTTTATGTAATACCCTGATTACATAGAATATACCGATATGGCAGCTATATCTGATAAAAACATGTTTTTATTTCACGTAAAGAAGCATTGCTGAGAAAATATCAAGCAATCAAATCTCACCGATGAGCATGATCACCGCTCTGACTTTCTTCAACATGCAAACCTCAGCGGATGTGGAATATCAGCTTTGATATCCTAACTACGAATCTCAAGCCTACAAAAATTACCAGCTATCAATCTCACCAAAACTCTCCAAATGCAGGAAAACCAATGCTTCAAAATTTTTGCATTACACCTGAACACGGTCTGAAGCTTCCATAAGGAATGATGATAATTGAATCACTGCTAAAGAATGTACACAACAAAAACTGGTCAGAAACATCGACCTCCCAAAATGTATCCCTAGCTTTCATAATTTTCATGTTTACCACAAAGTAAAGACTTGGACGTGAAAATTACAATTTGAAGAATATCATCCAGTTTTTGCGAAATGGCGTTTATAATATAAAAATGCTACAATACAAAGTGGCAACAAAATGATAATTTATGTCACACAAATCACATAAAAAGTTAGTAAAACCCATAAAGACTAGAAAAAGATGGTTTGAAGCTAGTTTTATATTGTCAACTAGATATCCTTCAAAATGAGTTTCGGATGGATTTGCTGCATAATTTTTTAAAATAATTCTTTCACGACCAAATTTTGATGTGTACATCCTCAAAAAAATAAACAAGAACAACAGAGCTACGGAAATGCGTATCGTGGAGTCATATGAAGGAATTGCTAGTATTGATAATACAATTTCTATTAAATATAAGAATTGTTTGCGATATGGGGTTGAACCTAAGAACCCAAGAAACACATATTCCTGGAATTATGTTGAGTACACTTCTTTATAACCAAAGCCAATGATTCAGCAATGGGGCAAAAGTTCGCAAACTTAATGGCAGTTTTCGAGAAGTTTCGCACTACAAATCTTTAAATACCCTATAATGGTGAGAAGGACATTAATAAATCACATGTTTGTTCCCAGATATTGTCAGTACTAGGGTAGAGAAAACATGATCATTTTTTGTGATTTTTTTGAGAGAAATTCTGACTCTAAAACACCTTCCAAACAAGTACCAAACATTGAGTTTTATTTTGCACGGACTTCGAAATCCTCAAAAACATCATTTGCTTTACTTGACTCTACAAGTTCAAAGAAAATGTCTGTGAAATGCCTGTGTTTATGGTTATTTAGAATTAATTCAATCTCTGTGTTAAAAACAAAAACTTTACCTGCAAGGCGGTTCTGTTCTTATTGTTTTCCAAAATTTCCTGCACTCCAATGATTCGATGACCAGTCGCTTCTACCAACATGTCACATGTAGGTCATCAACCAGCTTTAAATACGTGAGCAGAAATACACATTACAAAAGCCCGAGTGGGACGCTTCTATTGAAGATGCAGTGAAGATTTTGTTTGGTTGTCGTGAAATACACGCACTATGAGTGTATAGATATAAAGAAGATTGATGAAGATTTTGTAGGTATCCTGTAAAAAAGATGGAGCACGGTGCTAGTACATGGATGTAGATGCATAAAATGAAAAAAAAAATTGGAGATTTATTTGCTACCTTTATAATTTTTTAGCATCTTAGAATTGAGAACGCATAATTCTCTTGTAAATTGCATGCATCACTTATTACACAATGTCCAGTCAAAATAAACTAGAGATTCAATTCTAGCAAACATGCCCAGCGTTAAGATATATATATATTTTTATTGGTACCCATAATTTTACATAATTAACACGTTTTATCATTTACGGCAAAGGAAGATTGCGTTTTGAATAAAATTTATTTATATTATTTTATAAGTGTGCAACCCATTAAATTGAATCAATTGCAATTTTTACAATGTCATTTGTAAATGTATGCCTCTTCACACTTTTTGAAACAATATACTAATGTTCTAATGTTACGCGTGATGGAAATCGTCATTGTTGTAAAGCAAGAAGCGTAAACATACCTATCACACAAAATTATCTGCGGCGAGACTAGACCATATGTAAATCGGGGAAAATACGATTAATTGAACAGAATGTTACGTCTTTTATATATGAACTTCATGTCATAAGTGACGTTCGTTTACTCAGAGCGTAAACAATTTCATGAGTTTTTGTGGACACCTACTGAACCGGTAACCGTTTTGCAGATAAATGCAATCCTGAGAATATCGTGATTGTTTGATTTTTCCCATACTTCAATAAATACCTGACTGGGATTAATAACGATGTGAACTAACAGCAAAACATAGAACATGCAAAGTTTGTTTACTATGAGTTACTAGAGGCTTGCTACACTTTCAATAATCTTTTGGTGAAAATATGGAATGAAATACCCTTAATTGACGTGCGTGTCATCTGTAAGACCTTTTCACGAAATTAAAGAAAGTGGCTCTGGTTGTCAAAATGGTGTATTTTTACTTAAGAGTGTATGTCAGACATTTTGGTGCAAGTTTTAAACTTTTTACAGATGTCAATATTTTGGTAATGGGGCAAGGAAGACTCAAAAGATCAAACTTTTGTAACTTTTTTCGATCTGAACTGATTTCAGCAACATCAAATATAAAAAGGGACCGAAAAAAATTCCACTTCCGGATTGAAATGAGATACAGGAGATACATATTTCAGACCAACTCTTAAAATTCCAAATTTTTGTGCTGATCGGGGCACCCCTTGGTCCAGGGGAACATTTTCTATTTTTCGTTATATTCAAGAAAGCACTAAAGAATGTCCACAGTTAAATTGCATCACTTTCAAAAAGCTGTGACATTTTACCCTTTGGGTTAATTTGAATTAAATTTTGGGTGAGATGGCCTCAGCGTGTATTGTTTACACTGCGTGAGTTTCATTGTGCAATTTCTAGTAGTTTTTAAAATGGAGTCGAAGGAACATCGTGTGTGCGAGAAAATTTTGCACAATCCTCTCAACAACCCACATATTTCTCACCGAGCCATCGGAAAAATGTTGGGAATCCAACAATCTACTGTTTTTCGTGTCATCAAACGTTTCGGAGAACGTTTATTTGTCGATCGGAAGCAAGTAAGTGCAAGAAAAAGTGTTCCGTACTGCGGTGAGGATCACAAGCGAGTGGTTGCTGCCTTCAAACGCAAACCCAACTATTCCGTTTGGGATGTCGTGAAAAAACTGCACCTGTCAAAAAGTTTCGTGCATAAAGCCGTACATTCACCAACGCGGGCACGTAAGCTGTACACACAAATGTTGACAAAACCACACTGCTGTATCAAGGACGATGCAACATACGTAAAAGTGGACTTCAAACAAATTCAGGGAAACCGCTATGTGACTGCGAAAGACAGATTCGTTGTTTCAGATTCCCTCAGAAACCCTCAGGAAACAGCAAGTGTCGAAGTTCCCCAATAAATTCATTATTTGGCAGGCGATTTGTTCGTGCGGAAAACGGAGCAAGTCTTTCGTAACAACAACAACCGTAAATGGTCAAGTCTACATGAATGAGTGCCTGAAGAAACAACTGCTTCCGTTTCTCAAAACGTTCCTACAATTTTTTGGCCGGATCTAGCCTCTTGTCACTACTCTAAGGACGCTCTAGAGTGGTACAAGACGAATGGGGTCAATTTCGTGCCGAAGGATCTCAATCCCCCAAACACACCGGAGTTGCGACCGATCGAAAGATGCTGGGCTATTATTTTTCCTCTGTTCGGGACATAACACCACCGACAAACCGACATGGCACTTAATTCTGACTTATGCCCGAAAATCGTAAACGGCCGATTTAAATGTGCAGTGATCCGAACTGTCAAAACCATAGAATTTTTTTATCTAGATAAAAATAATTTGTCCAGAATATATCAGACACGAACCAATTCATGACTTTTGCATGCCGGTTCATGGCTTAGCTAAATATTTCCCGCGAACATGGAGCCAAATGTCAGTAGTGTGCTTTGGTCAAAATTTTTATTGTTTTTGCACCACTGCTACCAGTAATTAGATTTATTGTAGTATATCCCGTGTCCTTAGTTTAGTGCATGTCGTATTACCATAGAGGTAACTCTAAGACTAGAAGGTCCCAAAATAACGTGCTCAACTTTTTGGCTCAGCTCTGGTACTCTCTTCGGTCCCAAACTAATCGATTCACCCCTCGAAACATAGGAAAATCCACTAACCCCTCATTTTATCTATCAAAATTTCATAGCGAATCAAAACAAACATTGTGTAGTAGTAGAATTTCGACTAGAATGGGGTACGTTAATCGTTTGCTTGGGACCAATAGGCTAGTCAAGTAGTGAGCCAATTTAAAATCGTTAGTTTCGTATTTATTGTTGGTATTACTCCATCACTATTGAGAAATGATGAAGTATTCAGTTTTGATACAGTTGTCATTCTTGCCTTCAACGCAAGGAATCGATTTTAATGAAAGGTCTCGCTATTTATACCCTTCGGAGTGTTGGAACACCCTCCTTTTGTCAGTCAAAATTGGATTCCTTAGCAACAGAAATAAGCAATGACGCCAATAATGACCATGCATCAGAACCCTAGTCTTAACCACTTCAAACTAGAGAGCAACGAATAGAAGATTAGGAATCACATAGGTTAAGACTAACTAACTCATTTGTTCCTTGTTTCAAGATCATTCTCGGTCCAGACAACCCGAGGACTCATCACTATCAACAAGGCATAAAAAGTAACAAGGACTAAGATATGTTCATTTGATTACTGAATATTTCCTGTTCCCCTAGTTTGATGTAGTCAAGACTAGGAATCCCGTAACGCTGGGCTATAATGTAAGCATCCTAAAGTTGTCACTACGGAGCAGAAAAAATGTCGATTCAACCGTTGTACAAAGCCTTATGGGTGGAGTTGAGAAGAAAGTTCGGGCATTTGAATTTTGTGAAAAAAATAGAGTGAAATAAAGATACCTTAACCAAGCTTATATTTATATAGTATTATCATAGAGGTAACTCTAAGACTAGTAGGTCCCGAAGAAACGTGTTCAACTTTTGGCTCAGCTCTGGTACTGTCTTCGGTCCCAAGCTAATCGATGCACCCCTCGAAACATAGGAGAATCCCTGAACCCCTCATTTTATCTGTCAAACTTTCATAGCGATTAAAAACAAACATTGTAATAGTACTAGAATTTTGACTAGAATAGGGTACGTTAATCGATTTGCTTGGGACCAATAGGCTAGTCAAGTAGTGAGCCAATTTAAAATCGTTAGATTCCACCGGTTGGTATTACATTCCCTGAAAATTTCATGACTATCGGTGAGAGTCTTATTTTTGGCAAGTACTTCTAAGTGATGCAATTTAACTGGAGACACCCTTTACTTTATATTGTTAATACACTGGAAATTCTATTTACGAACCAAACTGGAGGTTCTTGAATCAAATTAGTATGTAAAAAAAACTCGTTATTTGGGATTAACTTCGTAAAAAAAAACCTAGTTATTTGGGATTTACATCTTTAATGAAAACATTGTCAAATACCCCACAATATGGGTATTTCCGGAATCGGAATGACGTGTAGGAACCAGAACACGATGCCTGACGCCAGTTAGAACTCCAATATGGCACCTTCCAGTCAATGACAAATTGGAAAATAATGTAAAATACCCTACAATATGGGTATTTTTGGAAACGGGATGCCGTGTAAAAACTGGAAATCCGTGGTAAACACCATTTTGAAATCCAGGATGGTGACTTCCGGATTGTGATAACTTGGAAATACTGCCATATTCCCCACAATAAGCTCTATATAACCACCCTTTGAATTTGATTTTGAATTTTCATATGATTTGAGGTGCCACATGATGGGTTTTGGTCCAAGTCATAAACTGACCACTTTCCCTGGGCTACATAGAACATGGCCGGATGTGTTCAATGTGGTCTTGGGCACTTGACATAACCACCATTGCGCTTGCTTGTGAATTCTCATGTGATTTGAGGTGTCGCCTGACGAGTTATGGTCCAAGTCAGAAACTGGCCACTTCCCCAGGGGTACACGGAAAATGTCCGGATGTGGCCAATTTGGCCCTGGACGCTCAATATTACCACAATTGATCTTCTTTTTGAATTATCATGCGATTTAAGGTGTCACATAATGGGTTTAACACGACCCTTATTCACCAAAACATATTCTGCCCATATCCAGAGGCCAGTTGACCGAAAACAGTTGTACGATTCCAAAAATATTTTGCGTATTTTTTTCTGAAAAGGCAAGATGCTTACAACTTCGATTAGATGAGCCGTACTATAATTTATTGAAAAATATCGAATTCGCCATTTTGAAAAAATAGGTAAGAGTTAAAATGGCCGAATTCCAGCACAAACTTTGTTCATTGTCTCTATCGAACAATTATGCGATGTTTCATGGAATTCGTAGACGTAAAATCTAAAATTTGTTGATTTTTTCGCTATTTGGCCTGGAATGGCTCATCTATGAATGTGTAGTATGTGAAGGCATTATATTTTTTATTGGATTGAAACGTCGTGTTCCATAGTCTATTACTGATAAACAGACGGATCACTTCACATACTGATCATCGTTCACTTATTAACGGTTAGTTTAATTGTTTGTTTGTTGGTAGCTGGGTACTGCGGACTCACGCAATGTGCTTGACAACTGAGAGCCAGCGTGAACTGTCAAACGGGAGCCAATCATTCAGAAGTAACAACAGTAGGAAATGAACCATTCTTTTTAAGCAAGAACCGCCTCAGTACCAAAATGCGAGGTTAAATTCGATTCAATTATAATAGACGACGATCTTCAGCTTTTGATCCATCTTAAAAATGTCCTTAGGAGACAATATCAAAGAACACGCGATCCTGCCATGCAAGTTATCTGGCGGGATTTGCAAAAACAAATTAAAAAGCGATTCTCTGCCCTGAGGAACAAACCTTTTCAAAATAATGTTTCGAAATTAGAACCGAATTCCAAACCCTTTTGGAAACTCACAAAATTTTGAAAAAACCTCAAAAGCCTATTCCAGCGTTTAAAGAAGGTGGTAAAATTTTGATCTCAAATTTGGAAAAAGCTCCGAAATTTGCTATGCAATTGGTGACTTCCCATAATTTCAATTTGGGTCTTAAAAGTTGTTCCAATTTTGAAGCCGTATAAAAATCCAGCTGAAGCTTCTAGCTACCGTCCAATAAGTTTGCTTTCTTCAATAAGTAAACTTTTTGAAAGATAATTTTAAATAGAATGATGCTTACCATCAATACGAACTCAATTTTTGCAAATTTGCAGTTTGGATTTCGCCATGGGCATTGAACTACTCATCAACTCTTAAGAGTTACCAATTTAATTCGTTTAATCAAATCTGAAGGCTGCTCAACGGGAGTTGCTCTTCTAGACATAGAAAAAGCATTCGACAGTGTTTGGCATGAAGGTTTGATTTCTAAATTGAAAAAGTTTAATTCTCCACTCTATATTATGAAATTAGTTCACAATTATTTAACTGACATGACTCTGCAGATAAATTATCATAATTCCAAATCTGAACGACTACCTGTTAGAGCAGGAGTTTCTCTGGGTAGCATTCTTGGGCCTATATTGAATAACATTTTCACTTCGGGCCTCCCTGATTTGCCTCAGGGTTGCCACAAATCTTTGTTCGTTGATGACACAGGCATTTCCGCTAAAGGAAGAAGTCTTCGTGTTATTTGCAGCAGACTGCAGAAAAGTTTAGATATTTTCTCTTCTTATTAACAAAAATGTAAGATTTCTTCGAATGTTTCCAAAACTCAACTTATAATATTCCCACATAAGCCTAAAGCTTCCGGTTTGAAATCTAGTAGTAGTCACATAGTCACTATGAACGGAGTTCCAATTTTTTGGTCAAGTCAAGTGAAATATCTTGGATTAGTACTTGACCAAAAATTATCCTTAAAATATAACATTGCCAAGCCAAATGTAACAAATATATGAAATGTGTGTATCCTCTAATAAACAGGAAATCCAAACTATGCCTGAAAAATAAACTTTTAATAGTTTTTAGACCGGCATAAAGCATGGCTGTGCCAATATGGTCTAGTTGTTGCACTACTAGGACAAAAGCACTTCAAAGGATTGAGAAAAAAAGTTCTGAGGATGATTTTGAAGTTGCCTCCCTGGTACAGTACTACCGAAGTACATATAAGTTCATAGAATGTTGACACATTAAAACAAATGTCCATCAAAATAATTAATAAATTCCGGCAAAAATTGCTCCAATCCTCAATTGCAACATTTTATATTTAGATAAGATTTAGCTTTAAGGTGACATGCAGGTATAGAAAACTCGTTTAAAATGCTGAATTGCCATATCAGGAACAATGTAAACACACATAGATATAGTTATATAATGACAATTAAAGCTGGTAAGTTACTGTAGTAGCTGGAACACCAAGATTAAAATTAAATGTAATTTAATTTGAACTTGGAACAAATGAAGAGTTAAAAACAATGGATTTTTTATGGATGAGAACACTACCGCATCTATAGGCGCAAAAGAGTCAAAACCTTAGAGAAACTTATCCGTTTTCCGTAATATTTGGGCTAATTTATAGCTTCAAATATGCAAATCTACTTTATTTTAGGAGAGTTACCGATGAAAAATAAATTATTTGGCTTCCCACCATTATTCTGGGGTTAACCGCACCTATACGGTTTACCACTACTACCAGAACACCTACCCTATTGTCAAATTAAAATAATGTTTTTCAATAAAAATATATATCTCTATCTCTATAAATAAAAATGAAATAGTGCTCGTATGTCACGCAATAACTCGAGAATGGATTGACGGATTTGCAAGATTCTTCATTATATTGTTTGTCTTGGTCCCCGACGTGTTTATATCAAACAACTAGGCAGTACGTCGGTTGCCGGGTCAACTAGTTTTTAAAATAAAAATTAATGTTTCAATACGGTTGTCAAAAGCAATTATTATTTCTTTTTTCTTTTTTCTTTTTTTTTTTTGTTGTTGCATTAGATCCGGATCTGACGCGTTGCGGCAAGGTGACAACTAAATCTATTGTCTAACTGTCACATTAACGTCAACGCAACGCAAACGAATGTAATGTAGATGGCCCTTAACACTCTCACGTCATTCGTGTCTTATATCATTAACGCGTAATGTGATAAAAACGAATGTGAGCAAACTAAACCGGCGATCCTCAGCAATCATTTCAATCAATTAAGTTATCCCTCAAATGCGCAGTGCATAGGCCGACCCAACTGTAGGCATTAAAAGTTAATGTTACGTGAACCGAGCGAAGAAACGATAGTTTAAATCGACCTGATAAAAGTGTTTGGAATCACGCACTTTTCCTATAGGCTACCAATGGCACATTATGTCATCCTGGTTTATCAGAAGTCAAACAAACCCAAGCACACGGGCATGCGTAACATGAATAACTCGATATGTGCTCACCTGTGCATTGTTCAGAGCGGCCGTCAGCACCTGTACATGGTTCAACGCCTGTTGAGCAGCGTGTTGTGCAGCTTTGGCGGAACGCTTGGCTTGTTGTAGTTGCTGAATCTCGGCATCCAGCGCTTGATGCGCTTCCAGACTCTGCTGTTCCAGACTTTGCAGTAAAATTTGCTTTCCGTGAAGAGCTGCTTGAGCGGTAGCTGCGGCTTGGGCTGCTGCCTGGGCGAGAGTATTTTGCGCGACATATGAAGCCTGTTTAGCCGCCGCATGTTGGTTGGCTACAGCTGAATTGGCTTGGTCAGCCGATCCTTGTGCAATCGAACGAAGACCACTTCCGGCACTGTATCCAGACTTGGGAGAGTAAGATGCTCCGTAACCAGCACTAGCTGCGGCTGTGTCGTAGTCATATTCAAAGTCCTTTCTTTTCTCCGCTTTGGTCCGTGCCTCGATGACACCTGGAAATAACATTAAAGAGATTTAGCGAATTTCGCTTACAGAGAGATAGGCACACTCAATTTTCACCAGTGGATGTAACCAGTAACTGGCAAAAAAACTAACTAGGAAACAAACGATACTCACAAATGCAAATCAGTAAAACAACTGCAACCGCTACTTTCATTTTTCAAGTGGTGATGTTCGCGTATCTGCGTTTTTGTTCCTCGTAACAAGTGGTGACCAGCGTTGTAAGACTATCGGTCCACTCTTGAAAATCTGCCTCTCTGCTGAAACGACGAAACGTAACAGACAAAAGCCAATAAATATGATGATTCATCCTCCGTTGATCGTTTGCTTTATCTAATGGTCATACTGTTGAAAAATACAGCACACAAGTGTGAAAATGAGGATACTGCAGCCAAATTATGAAATGTGTATTGAATTGTTCGAAGAAGTTTTCATGCTCGAGATAGCAATTATTATGACATCAAAGGTGATATTGTTATCCACCCACAGCAATCGTCCAATCTGTTTGTTTTCTGAGCTTTTCAATCATACACTTATTGATTGCTAGAGTGTAAGCCGATATGATATAATAGGAAATTTCTCGCTTTACGTTGACTACAATATTTGAGATATGAGAAATTTCTATGTAAATGGTCCCAATTCATTGATATTGATATTATGCTCTCTTCCATCGTCAAATTGATCGCACCATTTTATGGCATTTTACAGCTTTTGGATAGCCATTTAAGTTGCATAAATGATCAGCTAAATTGACATAATCATGATACGTTGCAAAGCATCATAATACGGATTAAAGTGTCCTAAATTAGTGAGTCGAAATGTGGGTCGTGCATTGTTTAACTGTGCTAGGTCTGACGTTTTGTATCATTTGGTGATTCAATTTATTACTTATTTTATTGATTTTGTACATCGTTCTATTGGATGAAAAGAAACAAAGATTATCTGCATACCCTTTTCATCACAACTTTCTGACGTAATTAGTTTTTATGGTAGGTTTGGTAATTTTTTTTTTATGGTTTATATCTTCCCATTTTCTGCTGAACGGATAAGCGTAACCGTTTGTTATTTTTGTGACGCCAATTTCCAACAAATGAATGACATTGTTTGACATAGTTATTGAGCAGGAGTCTACTGATGCAAAATGACCAATAGCTGAGATCAAGGTTATTAATTTTCATTATATATATATTTTTTTTTTGAGATCATTACATTTTTATTCCAATAAATTTGTTTCCGTCGATCTTGTTTTTCGTGCTGCACCAATGCTACCGATGCCGGGAAGGCAGCTCCCACACCTGGACCCAACCTATCGACCCATCAACTCATGAACTGGGGACCAACGGCTTTACTTCCCTTCCGAAGGAAGGCGTGATCAGAGATGTTGTGCCTCATAACATCCCGGCGGCACCGACTGGGATTGAATCCAGGCCTGCTGGGATGAGAGGTAATCACGCTTACCACTACAACACCGGTGCCACTGCCCGTTAGTTTAAATAGCTAAAAACGCATTTAAACGGTGCTCATATAGAATTTATTTAATTAGTACGCCTACACACTAAGATTTATTTACAGTATACTGTAATTTTTAACCGAATATGGAACAGCTGCAGTAATCTATTCGATTCGGTAATTTTATTATCTACAATCCGTTCAGTAAATTTCCTTCACCCTTGTTGAGCTGTCAAAATTTACTGACCTGGATTTAAAATTTTACAGAATGATACCAAACCGTTCGGTACATGGTTAGGTATTAATTTTTACCGAAATAACTGTAAATTTTTTCCCTGTATGAATAAAAAATATGATTTTTTATTGATTTTCTTTCATGTGTTTTCTTCAAATGATGATGATAACAAACAAAATGAATCGTTTGCAAGTTTTATCGAGGTTTTAAAGCATTCTAAAACTCTAAATCGTGCTCTACAGAACCCTCATAAAACCAAAATTACAAACATAATAGTTCGATGTTATTCACAACAAGTAAACCACACAAGTGCATTTGATTTGATGAGGGTATTAGGCCCAACTTACGTCCATCGTGACAAACTATTGGTGCAGAACCTGGTCCAGAATCAAGTCATCAACGAAAATACATCTTTTAACGTATATTTACCGGATTATAGTACAAATTAAAGTACTTACTTTTCCTACCGGAGAACCGAGTAAAATCAACTACGAAATAGCGGCAAATGCTGAGTTTGACAGAATGAAATTTACAAACCTGTTCGGTAATGTTTACAATAATCTAGTACTATACTACGGTTTGTTTTTGAAAAAGATTATTTTTACAGTACATTCGCCACACTTTTTACAGTATCGCAGATGTACAGCCCGTTACAGTTTTGATCAGTAATTTTTATTTGCATTTTTCGGTAAATTTCTGCAACAATATGTTTTACAAAACTTTCGGTAAAACATATATTTTAATGAACGAATCCAGCAAAAAAGTACCGAACAATATTTTATAAATTTAGTGTGTACACTTATGCGTAACGGCATTGTTAAGCAAACTCTAATTGAGTGTCGTTCAATTGCTATTTTACCTATTCAAACTAATTGGGTTCTACTGTACTTTTAAGTTACAAGAGGTGGTTGTAAAGTATGGGTTTGAAACATGGCACCTGTCAATTTCGCATAGAGAGTTACAATGAGCGATTGTGATTGTGATCGGTGAATATTCGCTTTTCATGAAGAGTGAATATTCACCGATCATTGAATCAACCGGTGGAAACTAACGATTTCAAATTGGCTCACTACTTGACTGGCCTATTGGTCCCAAGTAAATCGATTAACGTACCCCATTCTAGTCGAAATTTTAGTACTACACTATATTTGTTTTGATTCGCTATGAAAGTTTGACAGATCAAATAAGGGGTTCGTAAATTTTCCTATGTATGTTTTGTATGTATACATTGAATTGCAAATGCTTGCTAAGATTCTAGATTTTATTTTATTGGTGACATAAAAGCTATATGAACCTGGGAAAAATTATGTGATCACGATGTTTCTGACTCATTTTAGCTGTATACATTAATTTTGCTTCAAGGTGATACTCTAACGAAGCCTTGGCATTAAACTTCAAAAGCACAAATATCAGCTTCCACAAAACATAAAATTTTGAAGTTGATGCTGTCTGTTTGTTGTAGCGCAGCTAGAATTTTTGAAGAAGCTAACATTTGAGTTTTTAGAGTGTCATATTAAACTCGTCTGTTTTTGAGAGTTTTATAAAGCTATCCATACGAAAAATAATACCATTAAATATTAAAATTAAATCATGTATTGAGATTTCCAATATTCATAATAATTGGGAAAAGTATAAATCGCAGAGAGAAAGCTGTGTTTACTAGGGTACCAATGAAATGTATGAGAAAAAAGGAACCATCCAATTTTCGAAACGCTATTATGTCATATTTGAATACAACATGATCACTGCTTCGAAAAAAGACCCAAATGAAAAATTTGAGATCAGTCAGACATATTTTAGATATGCCGCAAAATGGTTTAAGGTTTGAACTTATTTCATCTGAAAAATATCGCAAGGTACGGTCATACCAGTATTATAAGTCGCTCACAATTATGGGTCACTTCCATTTGATTAACACGCAGAACTGAGTGACAAATAATAGTGACTAGCTGGCCCATAATACTGGGGTACACTGTACTGTACTGTACATGCAATTTCGGAAATCGAAAAATTGTTTTTGATGCCGAATGTCATAAAATATTTGAAACGTCGAGATCTAGTTTTAAATTTAAATTTGCATTGTCGAACATCGACATCCTGGGACTTTCGAGTTAACACTACACAGCAAAAATAAATTTTAATAATACATTCAAGATGATGCACTTCAATCATGTCTTAAATCTCATGTAATTTTAATGGCCACAAAAGTAAACAAATGCAGTAAGGGTAGCGTAATGTCAGTTCATGCACTGTATTAATGATAAATTTTGTCCTTTTTTGGCAAGTAATATTACACCATATTTTTGACACGATTGAAGTGTATCCACTTTGTTGTGATATCAAAATTATTTTTTTGCTGTTTAGATTTTGACGTTTCATGCATCTCTTAGTCATCCGACATTAAAAAAATCAATTTCTGACATTTTTCTAAGTTTTAGAAAGTGTATTTTCAACAAAACAATTTTTTCGAGTTAACACTAGACGTTCAATGCATTTTTGGCATCAAAACAAAATATTCGATTTCCGAAATTTCATGAATATTGTTCAGATGAAAGCTTGCTTAACCCCTAAATCATAACCGATTGCGCCCAAATTTTGCATAGGGTCTTTTTTCGAGGCAATGGAAATTTAGTAGGAGAAACGGATGTAATGTCAGCTCCTAAATGCTCCTAATTTGGGCCCATGCATAAATTCAACAATCGACTAAATTGTCAATAGCGACCATAATAAATAGAAGATTTTTAGCATTGGGCCCAAACTTAGATCCATAGGCCAACATTAGAGCCATTTCCCCTATATGGTCCGTTAGGAAAAAAAAAATTGGTTACCTAAGGTTACGGTCTGCTTTTGCTAGGTTTGGTAATGCTGACATACCATAACAGTGGGCGAGCAAATCCACGCCAACTAACGAATCAATCAAGCTTTACTCTATCCGAATTCCATGAAACTTCGCATAACAATTTTCTAGGGGCAATAAACCAAGTTTGTGTTGGAATTCTGGCATTTTGACTTGCATTTAATTTTTCAAAATAACTAATTCAGTGTTTTTCAATAGATCCTAGCATGGAAAAGACTCATCCAATCTAAAAGATGGCTGAGATAAAGCTTAACGAAATTGGATTGGCTTTACAGAAGAAAAAAATGTACACTGATAAAAAAATCACTTATTTTGGTAAACACTTTTAAAAATTTCATTAAAAATAAGTGAGCTTCTAGATTTTAAAACGTATGTATTTATCATTGAAAACTGCTAAATTTTCTGACATTGGAAACAATGAATACTTTAGAATCGACAAAAAATGTATCTGGTCACATAACTTCTATTAAAAGGCTGTCCACAAAATAAGTAGACAGTTTAATGGAAGGGAGAAGGGTTGGCAAATGTTTGCGGCCCATACCAATTTAAAAAAAAAAAATGTATAGACGATCGATGATGACATGTTTATTATTGCCTTCCACGGGCTCAAATTTTATGCAATCGCAATATTTTTTTTATTCAAATTCAATTGTGAAATTGAAAAACATGACAAATTAGTTTCTACTACCGTACAAACTTTTCCAGAAAAGATTAAATAA